AAGTCATGTCGACATAATTTAAAACTAAAAACAATTCACTTATAATTTTTTTTTTTTATTATCACAATTAAATTTAAGAAAAAGAAAACAAAATTAGAAAAAGATTCTGGAACGTGAAAGAAGAATGTATCTGAGTATCTGGTTCATAAAAGTTTCAAGAAATCAATCAAACACTAATCCAAGAACCCCTCTGCAGCCATTTCCATCTGATCCCATTGCCTGACTGAAAGAACACAACCATCTTCTGCTCTCATTCTGTGAAGTCGACCGCCCAAAACCCGGAAGCCTCAAACATCTATCCTCCAACGAGCCCTGCTGCCCGGCTGCCCGACTAACCAAACAGTTGCTCGTCTCCGAACCCCCCATGCAGAGTCCCGGGCTTCTGACCGAATAAAACCTCTTGCAGCTCAAGGACCTGAAAGTCGGGCCCTGTGGCGAAACTCGGGCCCACTGTAAATCAAACGGCCCTTCTAACGAGGTTGCATCTGCCGAACACACACAGAAGGGCAGTGAAAGGCTCGTTCGGGCCACTTCCTTGATTACGGGCAAGTTTCAGCCAACTTCACAAACGAGACTATCACGTGTCGGCACAATGGACAATTAATCGAGCCCGGTGGGACCGGGCCTCGGCCCACGGATGATGTGGCGCGCGTGGAGCAAAGGTATATGGCGTAGTATGTACAGAACTCGTGAAACAACCTGCATTTTTTTCGAACAAAAGATTGAGAAAAAAAGATACTAATTTATATCAATTTTAATCCAAAGATTCTAGCATTTCGCCTTTTGGTCCTGCAATTTAATATTTAGTTGCAGTCCACAAAGGACTGAAATTGCAACAAATTCCCATGTTTTATCTTTGCGTTGAATTCTTAATTAGCAATTTAAGTTCTATAATTTGAAATTTATTGCATTTTTAGTACTGTAATTTAAAATTTTGTTGCCATTTCATTCCTCAAAGAACTTAAATTGCAGCAAAATAGTAAATCACATGACGAAAAGACAAATAGTAGGAACTTTGGGACTAAAATTGCTATGACATTAAACCAACATGACCAAAAATGCATTTCTGCCTATTTATTTAAAACATCGGTCGAGCATGTTTTGTGTAGTAGAGGAGTAGTACCTTGTACAGCAACCGTGCACTTTCTTTCTAAGCAAACTGCGTATGGATCTAAACTGGTCGATTGTGAATCTCTGCTTCTCCATCCACACTGTCTGAAAAGTGTCACAAACAGAAAAAAGTTGATGTTAGTGAGGTGAGAAAGTGTTTTTGGTTGTGTTCTTTGAATTCGAAGTCGGCGAAACAAATGGAATTAATTTGTTTTTTTTTTATATGGGGAAGAGATAAATAAGGTGAACGGCTGAGTTTCAGCAGGCGTCTTGGTTGTTTGCTTAGGATTTGCTCGAGCCGATCTCTATGCCACGAACGAGCGACCATCAATGGTGTCCATCTTTTGATTTGAAATGCAGATAGAAAGTTAAGAGTGGAAATTTAAGTAAGCTTCAAAATCATTTTATAAGGAAAGAGTGTTGTATTAATATTATATATATCTGCAAATTCTGTGTTGAGCATATGGAACAAAAGAAAAAGACCATCAATAGGCATCATATATCTCCAAACAAAGCTATAAAATAGGTAAATTAAAAAAGCTATGCCTAGATTCACCAAACAATAATCTCCAAAAAAAATAAAAAAAATGAAAATATTCTCAGCTGCATATAAGTATCAAAATAACCATGAATTATCAGACATATCAAACAAACAAAATATGAAAAAAAAAAAAAAAAAAAAANAAAAAAAAAAAAACATATGCATATACTCTCTTAAAAGGAAGAGTTGTTTCTTGAAACTTTTGAATTGCCAAAAATACCTTCATAAAAAGATAAGTTTTAAGGTTATTAATGTAATTTTCTTATTAATGGTAGGAAGTTACACCTTCTATTTATTATCTTTTAGTTTTTATGCTTAATTATATCTTTAAGATCTTACACATACAAAACATTAATTACACAAATCCATATATTTTAAATAATAATTTATTCCTAATTATATTATTCTGAATTCATGTAAATATGACGTTATGTTTCGATTTGGTTATTTTAAAGTTAGTTTTAAAATGTAAGAGAAAAAAATATTTTAAGATTTTTTAAATATAAAATATCATATATTTCATAAGTGTAAAATATTAATGCACCACAAAAAGTATCATTTTTAATCTCCAAATATCATATTGTTTACCATACAAATTTTTGGTTATAGTATTAAAAAAAATTAAAGTGGAACAATTTAGTGAGCATGCATATGTTTAAGAATGATTGAA